TCTGTTCTCTTTCATATTTTAGTTTTCATTTATCATATTTACTCAAATATAAGACAAGGTTTTATTCCCCAATCTGCATGGGGGGAAAAACTCCTTGTCTTACATTTGTATACAAGGAAACCTCATTAAATACCTAAATATCTATCGTTAAACTGTTGCCAAAAGCAGTATGTGCTCAGTAATTGAAACCAACTATGAAGTTCATTTAAATGCAACCAACACTGTGCATGACTGTAAAATAAATGGCCCATATGGGGCAAATGGACTGATGAAAACCTTTTTTTTGTGTGTATGTGGCCCTTAAAAAATGGTCAGTTTTTCCCCCAGGAGGGAACAAGCACTGGGCCTAAATGTGCTGCAATGTAGGCCAGCACTTGGAGAGGCTGGAGCAAGCTGCAGCATGCTCCCTTGGTGCAAAAAATGCTAATGAGAACCTGTGTGTGTGTGTCCCTTATAATAAAAGCAGGCTGTTGCTCCCTCAGGAGGGAACTGGCACTAGGTCTGGAAGTTCTGCAATACCAGGCAAGTATTAGGAGGGCCAGAGCTAGCCCTGACACCCTCCCCTTGGTGCCAAAAAGGCCAAGATACTGATAGGACTGTACCACAAGAATAGAATAAGATGCTTGGTAGTGCCCATTGCACTCAGTTCCCTCAGCACTGATTCTTTTACAAGTCATGGTGAGCCATTCAACTGAATACATTTTAACTTTCTCTTCACTCCCACAGCTGAGCTATGCCTTTCTTTCCCATTGCCACTGATTCCTGTTTCTTCTCCAGCCTTAACTGTCTAGCAGAAGTCAACAAACAGGGCCCCAAAATGTTCTCTGAAAATCCGTTTCCCCCTCTCTCAACCTGTCGCATAAGATTAGGGACCTACTTAAATAATGCCAGAAGTGTGCTGTACAGCAGCTCCTTTAATCTTGCTCTTTTTGCCTCATCTGCTAATTGGCCAAGGGACCCCAGCAGCCCCAACACTCACTGCTTGCTTCTGATGAGCCAGGAGGCAAAAACTGTGGTTTTAAATATGCTGTGGTTTTTGCCTCCCAGCCAGCAATCAGTGGCAAGTGGTGGTGCTGCCTGGGCCCTTCAGGCAGGCATTCAGCAGCAGGAGGAAAAAACCACAGCATATTTAAACCCACAGTGTTTGCCTCCTAGCAGATCAAGAACAAGCAGAAGGGTTGCTGGGGCCCCTCCTCCAATCAATGGCTGGGGAGATGTGGCAAAAAGAGCAAGATTAAAGAAGTCACTGCACAGTGCACTTCTGGTGCAATTTAGGTACATCCATGCAGTTTAGGTACACTACATATGATTAGTATGACCCTGCCCTCCATGGGGTGAACCCAGACCAGGTTGCCCTGCATCTCATCTGCATATACATTTTTGGAGGATCCTAGGACTCATGTCAAGAACACCTGGTTCCAGTCAAGTGTGGAGGGAGGGGGTCTAATTAGCACATGGATCCTTTGTGGGCAGTATATGGAGTACACAAACAAACTGAGCAGTGCTGAGTTGTGGGATCACCATGGCTTGAAATACTGTTGACTGCTGGGTCCCACCTCAGTGAATGTATATGGTAAATCATGAGCCTTTTGGCTTTGGACTAACATCATGCATGTTCTGTACTATATATAAGTAGGTACAGAAGTGCTGCATTGTTCATGGAGTATCTGTACTAAAACATGCAACAGTTTCAAAAAGGTTAAATGCATCAGTTCTGGATGAATTAATCTATGGGTTCCCATAGTAATTTGCCTATATAGGTATGTTTATTTCAAAGATAATAGGCATATCTACACAAGATGTTTACAGTGCTGTAGAGTTGTAGAAATTAAGGGCTTGAGGGGACTTCAAAATATCAAGTCCAACCCCCCTGCTCTGGGCAGGAATACTGCTGAGATCAAATGGTCCCAGCAAGGTGTCTGTCCAGTCTCCTCTTGAAGACTTCCAAGGTTGGGGAATGTATCACCAAGTCTATTCCAGATTCTGGTGACCCTTGTCACAAAGAAGTTCTTCCTTGCATCCAACTTGAAACCATCTTCCAGCTGGGGTCTCACTAGCACTGAGTAGAGAGGAAGCATCACTTCCTTAACCCGTCTCGTGATGCAATGGCTAATGCTTCCCAGTATGCTATTCGCTCTGTTGACTACAGCATAACACTGGCATCTCATGTTCTTCCTGTGATCAGTCATAACCCCAAGGTCCCTTTCAGCCATTGTGCTGGCCAGGATATTTCCTCCTAACCTATATTAATGTTGCTGGCTACTTCTCCCCAGACGAAGTACTCTGCATTTATCCCTATTGAACTATGTCCAGTTCTGCTCTGCCCACCTTTCCAGCTTGCCCATGTCCACTTGGTCCCTAATCTTATGTGACAGGCTGAGAGAGGGGGAAACAGAGGGATTCTCAGTGAACAGTTTGGGGCCCTGTTTCTTGACTTCTGCCAGACATTTAAGGCTGGTGAAGAAACAGGAATCAGTGGAAATGGGAAAGAAAGGGATAGCTCAGTTGTGGGAGTGAAGAGAAAGTTGAAATGTATTCAGTTGAATGGCTCACCATGACTTGTAAAAGAATCAGTGCTGAGGGAACTGAGTGCAATGGGCACTACCAAGCATCTTATTCTATTCTTGTGGCACAGTCCCATCAGTATCTTGGCCTTCTAGGGCTGCTCCACCCTAGCTCAACATGCTGCAGTCCTGGGTATATGTGAAGCTTGGGGAGCAATAAACTCTACAGTGATAAGCCCTGGAGTTTATTCATATGCATTAATATGCATGTATAGATTCATCCAGTGTTTTCAAATTTGCTTCTCTTCCATCTACTCAGGGAAAGCACGGTCTGAAAGTAGGTGGGGGTGGGGAATGGGCTTTTGGAGAAAGATGTTGGGGAAGCAGAGGGCAACAGGGCTACCTAACTCCCTCAGATTTATTTTCCCTGCTTTAGCAGTGGGAGGGGGACAAATTCAAGGCAAACCTCCATATGAAAATTTTATAAAGTTGTTATGATTTTCCAGGTATAGAATCTAATTACTGGGGCTCATCTTATATTCAGGGTCATTTTATAGTCAAGTAAATGTGGTACTTTCATATAAAGTTTTATGTTGGCAAGAAGTGATTGATAATTTGAAGGCCACTTGCTGATGTACAAAAAAAGATGTAGCATGGACATCAGCAAAACCATTTTCTCTATGCTGCCTTCTGACACCTGTTCTGATCCAAAAGAACCCCCCCTAGGGTAAGCAGACACTGAAATCTCCGGTCCCCACCTTATCTCTTGGTATTTATGTGCAAACTACCAAATTAGTGATACTTAAGCTAAGATTTTCAAAATCTACAGGAGTTTGGCCTAAAACAGCACTGGAATTCAATGAAAGTTATCAACCAAGTTCTCTTAGACTTCTTTGATAATCCTAAGTATAGCATCAATTTGGAAGTAGTACACTGTTGTTGTTTTCTGTATAGGGTGTGTACAACATTTAGAATGGTTTAAATATGGCTTAAAACAGAAATGGACAGGCATACCAGCCTGGTAAACTAGTTTAAATACACCTGGAACAGTTAAAAAATATACCTGAAAAATAAAGTACTGTTTTGAACATTTCACCATGAACTGGTTCAGTGCTCTGTGTGGACACTAAGTGTTTTGTGACACATGTCTGGTCAGTCTTCCAGGCATTCCACACTGCATTGTTCCTCACACTCCACACACACACTGCTGCAACTGGCTGCCCTGGTACACAGCCAGAATGCTGCTACTACCTTTTTTCCCTCTTTTGTTGGCCCTTTTTTATCAATGATTTCCCTTGCACTGCTTATTCAATAAAAGCTATCTTTCTAAGAACCAGCTGTGTCCTCACACTACCTTGACCACAGCCTCTCATCATGTCTTCCCCCCGACCCTCCTTAACCCCCTGGGAATGACAAAGCACAGGTCCAAGCATTTCCCTTACCTGCAAGTCAAGCAAGCACATTGCAGACTTTGGCCATTTACATGCTATTAAAGATTATTGAACACATGATTAGGACAGAAGGGAAAGCAGAGAAGTAAAAAAGCCCCCAGCCACAGGTCACCCACTCCCTGGAATCTCCAAACCATGGGTGCAAGAACTGCCTCCTCCTCCCCACACTTGCCCACTGAAAGGTATGGTAGGCTGGGTGTTCACTTCCATCTGCAAGTCAGAGCTACAACACTTCACACAATTGTCAATCAGTTCCCAAACAGTGACATTTTGAAATGGTCCAACTGTTATCAGAGTCTGCACCCAAATAACTCATTTCTATTTGTGCCCTGATCATGTTTTGTAACATTGCTGCTTTCTTGATAAAATGTTGAATGCTTCTGAATGCAAAATACTGCATAGATCATTATCAAGGTCTTCAGTCGATGTTGTCAAAAATGGAAATTATTTTTTTCAAGATATTTCAAAAGTGGAGTTTTGCTGCTGCTGGTGGTGGTTTGGATAGGAGGAGTGGTTTGTTATGTTTGGCGGTTTTTATGCCCTGTAGAGACTTTTCAGTTCTCAAAAATGAAAAACAAATTTATAAATTAAAGTCAAAATAAGACTGAAATAATCCTAAAAGAAATATTTTGACTGTCCTAATCCTAAACAAAAACAAATTTTGAAGTGTTGAAATTTTCCATGGAATTGAAATTCTGCATTTTAAGAAGTTTTGTCCTAAATAACTGCAGATTAACGCATATAATTTGCTTTATATTATGATATATAACTAAAGGCAATGAATGACTCCTGAGACCTCAACTTACAAAGATGCCCCTGGGAATCATAATGTTTGTTCATTGTAAGGAATAATCATTCTAGTTAAGTTATCTGCTACATGTTCTTTTATTCCTATTACTGTAAAGCAGATGGATTTGATTTTCCTGTCCCATTTTGAGTACAAACCTGTTTGTTTAGCATATTGTTTAGTTAAAAAGTCTTGAGAATTGCAGTGCGCCAGTAGTATCTCTGTAGTGCCTAATGATCTTTGTTTGTTTTGCACTAGTTTTCCAGATCAAAACATTCGCAGAACTGCAGTCCAACAAATAGAAAATCTGTCAAATGATGAATTGCTAGAATACCTCCCACAGCTAGTTCAGGTAAGGAAACAATTGATAGCCAAGGAAGTCCTGTAGTCAGATCAATAACTTCATTAAATACTTTTGATCCTTCCAGTTTGATTGATACATTATTGTAAGAATAAGCAAAGAAAACAGATTAGCTGATGTGATGATTGAGTTAACTATAGGGGTGAATTATAGATTGTGTTCCATTTAAGAGAATGTAGTTCACCTTTTCTGGCATTGCTGAATGGATACTGTAGAAAAAAAAATCTGAAAAAGGAAATGCAGCTGTGACCAATAGCAGGCAGCATCAAATCTATGGCTGACAGAACAAGGTTTCGGAGTTTCTTGCATTCAGATATCAGTGTTAAATACCATAATGTATTTAGAGCCACGGTGTTGAAAAGGCATCACCAGTGCAGCCTATGCCAAGCAGTCTCTCTGGAGAATAATCTCTTTCATTATCTATTTTGCCTTTCACTACAAATAGTCTCTGGCTATTGGTCCAAACTTGATTTTACAAGAGATGGCAATTGTATGCTTGAAAGTATTCTGTCTTCAGGTCAAGGAAGAGATGACTGGCTGCAAAGCTTTTATCCTCTTTTTCTGGGACACTTTGAACAGCCTCTCTCCCACAGATCTAGGTTGTCAGATTTCTCACGTTCCAGTGGAGTGGATGCTTTCTTATGATGGGGATGGGGAAGGGAGACCAATGAAGTAGACATTTCCAGTAGCCAGCAGTGATTCAATAACTAAATGTCTAGATGATAGATTGTGTAGGTGTGTATATCAACAATAGTAGCCTGTGTGGCTTAGAATTATTCTTAACACACTGGTGAAGGGCAGAAGAATCATTTTTAAGCAAGTATTAGTCCAAAATTAGCCTACTTCACAACTGAAACAAAATGGCCTTGTGGATACAGTGCTGAATATATGTGAAAGATCTGGGTTCCATATCCCTGAATTGCCATAGCGCCTTGGACTAGTCTCTTCAGCGCTCTTTTCCTGTCTACCCCTTGTCTGGTCTCCATACATCATAACTTACAGTGTATCTGTGCAACTCATGGCATAATAATTGGTCCCTGCTGTTGATTGGTGCTTCTCTAGGCCACCTGCAGATCATTTTTTAAAAACTGTAATTAATTTTTAATTTCAGGTTGATCAAGTAAAGGAATTTGAAGGTTCTGTATTCAATTTGCAGAGTGGGGAGGAGGTTGGGAACTGATTTGGAGCACATTTTTAATGGATGTATTTAATTGCTGCCAAAATGAGGATGAACTCTGCAAGTGTCCAAATGAGGGGGTATGTTTACACCCTGACTTTGTTCCTTCCATTTTCTGAGCATTCCACATCTCTTGAATTCAAGTAACCACACAAATAAAATCTTTTCCTATCTATTTTTGAAAAAAATGCAGTAGAACTAGCCTGTAACTGAATGTTTTTTCTATATCTGCTTAGGTAATTAAGTTTGAATGGAGTCTTGAAAGCCCTCTAGTGCAGTTCCTTCTAAATCGCTGTCTTCAAAGCATTCAAGTAACCCACCAACTTTACTGGTAAGATTATTTAATATTACAGAATCATGCTTTTTAAGTGATTTTAAGCATGTGTAGTGACTGATGACAACATTTTAAAACCAGTTACAAGGTTAAGAGCAGGATATATACTATGATATTTTCTGCTAATAAAGAAGTCAGGCTTGTGAAACAGAAATTGTCTGAAGTAAAATACTTTTTAGCATTCTGAATGCATATAAGGAGAAGCAAAGTGGCCAACATTTTCTATTATTGATTATGAAAATAGACTACATACCGGGGCTGTACGAAGCTTTCGTCCCTGATTCAATTCAGCAGAAATTCAGCCCGATTCGGTGGCCGAATCTCCAAATCCAAATCAAATCAGAGGACCCTTTAATCTCTCCAAATCGAATAGGAGCCCTCTGAATAGATTCGGAGAGATTCGGCGATTCAGACATAGAAACAGCTTTAAATGTTTTTTCTACATACCTCTGCATAGCAGGGACTCATGAATGCTGTGATGCTGAGGTGCATGGAGTGTCCCACAGAAGCACAGGGTGCTCCCCAGTGCGCTCGGCAGCAGACTGGGAAGTGGACCAGAAGTGCTGGGGAGCATGCTGGGGGAGCCTCCCCATACTCCCCCAGCTCAGTGACTGGTGTCTTCTGGGTTTGGGGGGGCACCCAGGGTCTCCCTGCAGCTGATCGCTGAGCTGGGCATGGGGGGGGGGGGAGCCAGCATGCTCACTGCCAAGCATGTGGAGGGCCCTCCATGCACCCCAGCATCGCAGCTTTCACAAGCCACACTGGTACCTTGACATATGTAAAAAAAACTTTTAAAGCTGTGTCTATGTCTGAATCGCTGATTCTCCAAATCAGCATCAAATCTTCAGATTTGGATTCAGCCTAATTGAATCAGGAACAGTGATCTGAATCACCAAATTGAATCTCTGTCCCTGATTCAGGTCGAATCCAAATCCCGCTTCACACACCCCTACTACATAGACTGAAAGTAGCTGACTTTCACGGTTAGCTGTTCTATGTAAGGACCTTTGAAAATATATTATCTTGTGCCATGATTATTTGATGTGCTATATTGTTTATTTTGAGACCACGAGCTAAAAATATGCTTTCTGTCCCCTTAGCAAACTTATCCTAGGATCTGAAAGTCAAGCCTGCACAGTAATTCTGACTATCCTACAGTGTATGTCATTTAGAAGTTCAGTTGAATTACACACCTCAAGGCAAAGACTGAAACATAATGACTTTGTTGATAGTGTGCCTGACAGAATAGACTTCAGGCCTTTCTTTCGTGCCTATAGGAACTCTGCAAGTGGTAATCAGAATAAGCATGCAATTAAGATATTTTTGTTGCTGACACAACAAGATACAAATAACATGGATAAGGAGCAGATCTGTCAAATAAAGAAGTATCTATTCTACATAATCATCTTCTTTACAATACCTGCAGTTTAATTGAAGCTGTCACCATCGTATTGGGTAACTTAGCAACATCAGAGAGAGTATAATTTAATTCTTATGTATAATGAATCCCTAAGGTTGCCCTATAAACTTAGGTCCAAATCTTACTTTACCTATTAGGTTCTCAAGTGTGATCCTGTTCTGTCCTGCTCAAGTCCCTAAAGCTCCAGTAATGCATCTGTTTCTGTAATATGCTGTAATTCTAAGGAAGACAAAGCTGATTCACCCATCTTTTATATTAACATTTTTTTCAGGGATTCAAACAGAGTAGAATAAGATCACATTTGGGTGCTAAAGTCTGCTTAAGCATCTAAAAGGTAGAGCAGAATGTGTTGCTCTATCAAGCTAGATCTCATTTCCAGAGAGAGTAGGCTCAACAACAGCGCAGCTGAGCAGATTGTCATCTTGTATCAATTGGCATATCTCCCCTGAAGTCAGCAGAACCATAAGACTTTACCTTCCCCTGATGATCTTCCCCAGTATAGTGTTTTCCTCTAAGCATTTGCCATGTAGATATATGGATCTACATTTTGCAATGTAGATCTTTGGAGAACTTTTTCTGCCCACCTCTTAAGCAACCAGAATTTCTTCAGCTCTCATGCAATATGCAATAGATGATCCATTTATGTGAGGCTAATCAATTCATGAAGACAACACATTACCTGTCCTTTCTCTGGAACAGTGGAGTTCTGTGTAGTCAGATTCAATGCCAAAAAAAAATAAAATCCATAGTGAATGAAAGATTTTGAAATGTTTATAGCTCTCCTTGCATTCCAAAATGGTAGCAGCCCTGATTGCTTTTCAAGCACGTTTTATCTATGAGTACCTTCAAAGTACTAAGAGCAAAGCCTTTGAATATTTTCTTTGTCCATTCATCCTTTATGTTGGGAAGTTATCCTGGTTCCTTTATTTTGGGAGGTTATCCTGGTTTTGCACACAGCTGGCATATTTGTAAGTGAGATGTTACTGAACGTTTAACCCTACACTCTGTCTTCTCTCCCTTCAGAGCTTGAGGGGATCTATATTGCCACTATACAAAGTTACTCACACTTGCATTAACCTCAGTAGCATTTTGGGTATGTGCACATAGACAAGGTATTGTAAGCTAAAAGGGGACAGGAAATTACTGTGTGTTAGGTGCTGCACAGTAGGGGTCTTATTACACCTTATGCTGTAAACTGAACAAATGTTAATCAGCATAGTATTGTTTGGCTTAGTGGAACAGCTGCTCCTTAAGGCAGAAAACCATCTCTGATGAGACTGTGACTGTCCCTCACCTGCACAGTTGTGACTTGCCACTATAGGCTTGGTGAGAAGGCGCAGGACTAGGACCCTATAAGTAGAATGTTTCGTAGTTTAAAATATTACTGTTTCTGAACAAAAAGTTGTAGTTTTCCAAGTAATAAGTTTTGTTCAGAAATTTTTACAGTATATTAATGCTGTTTATTAATGAAAACCTTCCTCTCCTTGGCAAATTGAATTTCAGTCCCAGTAAAAGTAATTAAAAACAAAGTTCCGCTTCCATTTATCTCTAAAAGTTAGAGAAGCTGAGTGATTCAGTAATTTCCATATATACATGCCCATAAAAAATTGATATTTTTATAATGAATGGAAATAGATACTTTCTTACTGTCTGAAATGTTTAATTCTAGTTCTTTCAACTGATTCCTAAATTTGCAATCCACACTGTGTATGAAAATCAAAATCATTTTCATGCACAACTGCTATTCACTGTCTTAAAAGCAAAAACTGATAAAAACAAACTTAGAAGCCAAATAATACCTGTCTTTCTTTCACAATGAATGGCATTAACATTCCACTGCGATCTAACATTTTTTTAAAAATCAGCTTTTTAGGTTGGAGGAGACTTTACAGAAATCTAGTGATGTTCTTTCATGACCAAACAAAATCATCTGATCAAAACTGTCATGTTTCACAACTTTCTTCTGGATTCAGGAACTTATTGTAGGCACCAGGTCACTGATGGTGCTATTAAGTAATGGCAAGCTACCCAAACCTCCACTCAGTTGTGCATATTTAAAATAATATTTGAGCTATTTAAAGTCAAGCTGACTTTATTTGCTGCCACTCCAGAAAGATAAGTAGCTGACATCCAATGATAATGTGCCAACTCATCCTCTGGAATAACAACGTTGATCAGCAAAACACTGTACTTTTTTGAAAAAATATCCAGTGATCTTTTTGAAAAATACTATGAGCAAAATAATTGACAAAGGCTGACAACACTTTGCTAGTAAATCTCTTTTACGTTCATAAGCAAAGTTCCCAGCTGTTATAAATCACTATAATATCATTGACAGCAGTGGTTTTTCTGCCAGTTTATGGCAATTAGTGTTAAGGATCTCACCCAGTGGCATGAATGTACACCTCCCCAACTCTTCTTACTCTGAGTAATTATCTTTTTAATTTTTCAGGAATTTAGGTTATGAGTTTGGTCATTTCTCTATATCCCTGAGTATTTGAACATTTTGCTACAGGACAATAAGACCTATGTGCTACTTCAGTTCTGATTATGCATTATTTTAAGGGTTTAAAGCTGGGGCAGACAAAATATGGCCCATGGGACAGATTCAGTCTGCCAAGCACTTTCATCCAGCCCGCAGCACCTCGAAATGAATTGCATCCTATACAGCCCTTCCACCTACAAGGGTGGGAGTGAGGCTCTCACATATACCCACACCCCCAAACATACCCTGTTGTGCCTCGCTCCTAACCTTGTGGGCAGAAGGGCGCAGCCCAGCCAGCATGCAGCTCCTGGACAGGGCTGCTGCTGCCGGTGCTACAGCCCCCATGGACCTGCTCAGCTTTCCTGGGCTCCTCCCAGATCTGGGCACCAGGCAGGGAAGCAGTGGGGGCTGAGCTGCAGCTGGGCAGGAGCGTGAAGCATGGGACTGGGGCTTGTGGCAGCACAGAGCCTGTGCCCAGTTGGCAGCAGCAGTGCAGAGTTCAGGTGGGTAGCATGTGGGTATGAGGGAGGATGGGGTGGTGTGGGGACTCCCCCACATGCCTCCCATGGTATGCAGCCCCAGCAGGCAGTGGCAGCAGCAGCAGGTAGAGCACTTAGAGAGCAGGCACCTGGTGTCTCGCTGTGCATCACAGCGAGGGGCACATCTTCCGTCAGGCCATCTGTATCACCGGTGCTCCGTGCCACTCACGCACAGCCTCTGCACTCTGGGCATGGAGAGAAGCCCTGCACGCTAAAGCCAGCTGCCCTCCCCACCAGGGCTGCACAGCAGTGGAGTGAAGCCCCAGCCACCTTCCCCTGGAAGCTGAGGAAGGCAGCCAGCTCCAGCACCTGGGGCTTCCCTCCTATGCCCGGTGAGTGTGGGGGCTGCGCATGAGTGGTAGGGAACACCAGTGATACAGACTGCCCGGTGGAGGGCTGCACTTCTCACTGCAATGTGCAGCGCTGGCCAGGGCTGTGCCCCACCGGGCACCTGCACCTTTAGTGCCCTGCCTGCTGCTGCTGCTGCACCATGGGGGGAGTGATGGGGTCCCCACACCCCCACTCCCCCTCACACCCCACACACGCACACTCT